GTATAGAACCAAATTTAATTTTTTTGTTCTGCTTTAGACGAAATGATTACCAAGGTTAAGAGGTTAAAAATTTATGTCTACAACTTTTTCAATCGGAATTTGACTAGACAACTCCGCAAATGGTTTAAGGAAAAAAATTTTAAAGTCACTAGTTCAACTTCACTTGGTAAGGATGATTTACGCTTTATACATAGTATTATTAATGGCTGGTATTAAACGCCGAGAAGATTATAGATCAAAAATTCCGAACTCCAACGATTTATCGAAAAAAAGGTTTAAAGAATAATTACTTTTAACAAACAAAAAAATGGTTTAAAGAATTGTACTCTAGAGAATCCAAGATGAGCCAAATTAAGCCAAAAAATTGGTCCTCGAAACCAGCCAGATACGAAGGGAGAGAAAGTAGCAAATGTGCGTCGCAGATTAAATCAAATAAAATATAGCATATACTCGTGCTTTTTGAGGTTCCTCCTACACCGTTGGACACATTAAAAAAGGTTTAAAAATGGAAATGACGAAAGTTAAGGAATGCATGAGTCGTTGTTGGAATTTTGTAATGAGAAAATAAATAAGTTTAATTTGCCCTCCGAAAAAGAAAGTAATGCATGCTCTGTATTGATCCTTCTTTCTATTTTGAGAGTTTTATATTTCCCATGTGCTCTCCACATGCTTAGTGGCTGCATTGGTCTTCTTCTTTAATCTGCACATAAAGTCATTTTCTACTACATTAATCTGCAATTCCTTACCAAGCTTCCTTTTTTATTTTGTATTTTATTTTTCTTCAGCAGAAACATGACGTTTTGATGAGATTCCAACACAAGTGTCTATCAAAACACACATATTTAGCTATTTAATCATTAGCATAAAAAATATTTATAAATGAATTTAGTTATATACTTATATTGATTCAATCGATTTCCAAAATTTGTTATAAAATTTCGATTTAGACATTTACATGTAATAGTATTAATATCGTAACATGTAATAGTGCTAAAAACAAAAACAAAATCATCTTTGTTCTCCCTAAGGCTACTGCCTACTGTGACCATGTTATTAAGGCACAAAGGCTTACGTAGGATATGTCCGCTTCTTAGTGGATTGTGGACGAATTCCTTCCATGCATTTATTTGTTATTTCCGAGCAAGCGAGGTTCTCCTAAAAAAACAAATTTTAACGGACTCAAATAATATCGGTTGCAGAAGCCAATTTTTTCAAAGATACGTAAG